CACAATACATATGACAAATCATACATTATAAAAACTAATAATGTATAATCCCGCCACTTAGACAACCACGCAGAGGTTTTTATCCGCCACCAAGACAATCACAAGAGAATTATGTAATATACACCTATGAAAAATAATACAATTTTTCTACTTAAACAACCACAAATCAAAATAATATCTATCGTTCGTACCAAAATCTCAAATTGCCGCTCATTCACTTAATAGACACTTTTAAAATTTTAAAAAACAAAGATGACAGCTGTGGGATTTGAACCCACGCCCTTTCGGACCAGAGCCTAAATCTGGCGCCTTAGACCGCTCGGCCAAACTGTCTTGATATATGAAGTCACCACTTACTCTAATATTTTATTGACTCCTTCGAAGGACTTTCAAACTTGAAAGGAATGATTAGAAGCAAACTCAGACGTGTAGTGGTGTAGTGGTTCTGTCGCTAGCTGACACACACCAAACTGTAGGTAAAATTAAGGATCATATGAGAAAGGATCCAAAAGGGGTATAGATCATGGTGTTTGTAAATCATAGAAATTTAAGCAAAAACATTCATACATTTTTAAGGAGTTCTAAGGCTATACATGAAAGACCCAATTAAACCCAAAAAAATACTCATTTCACTAATCATGTATTACATAGAAATTCCCCTCATGCAAAACTGGAGGCAATAGTGATTCAGGACCTAGTATGTGAACCGAATCATTCCATGACAACAAAGCTATCTTTCACCAAATGAAGATGATAGAGAAAAAACTTGGTATGGTGTTTGTGAATGCTGCTTCTTCAACTTCTGGTTTGTTCCCAAAACAAAATCAAATTTCTCTAATGTTTCCTTGTACTTGGCATTCCATCAACATTTAATCCAGGAAAGTAATGAACCTTAAGAATATGCCATTAATTCTTTGGTCCTAATATACATTACAATTTCATATGGCAAATGTTTTGTGTCGTACATCTCTATCATATCTTTACAAGAAAAAAGTCACCAATCCTATACTCCTTATTTCAATATTGTGGACTGGAGGTGCAACAGCCTGTGTTCCCTCCACTCTCAGGAGTAGGAGGTGTCCGCTGCTCTGTGAAACCAGCCTCACACTATACCCTCGCAGCTCTTAATACATTTGTAAATCACCATTATTAATAAAGTAGTTTATAAGATATCATGGAGAGCATGTCAAAACAAGCATTAAACAACTTATAGACATGTGATATGTTGCTTCCATAAACCCTTATAAACAGTCTTATAGTATTAAAGTACCACATCGTTGAGTTATCAAAGAAGAAAAAATATGTAAGATATAAAAAAGACAACAAGCATGACATTAAATTCATACCTTTCTCGGCCTTTTGGCTAAGATCAAGTGTAGTATCTGTTCTTATCAGTTTAATATCTGATATGTGGGCCAATGGTCCACACGATATTAAATTTATTTCTTGAGGGGGAGAGACCACTACAATGGCTTGCTATTGGGTCTCTTAAGTGTCGTTTTTGCGTTGCACTGTTGCAATAGCCTGACACACCCCACCTAACCTAGTTCAAATTTATGTCCTTCTTACTAGATCCACAATATTTTCTTCAATGTTATATTATTTTTTGATCCCGTTTCTATGCATATGTTTTCTTAAACAGAATGTCGACACAATATTTCACTGGAACAAGCTATAATTAGGAAAAAAACTTGAACAAGAAATCATGTCAAGGAGATAGAGTCGTAAACTCGATCTAAAACAGAATGTCGACACAAGATTTCACTGGAACAAAGAAAACGAGAGAAACTATATCAAACAAATTCACACAAGAAAAAGGAATTGAAGAGAGGAAGATACTCAATTTTCACGGATCTTAATTAATAGCAGAAATGGAATGAGAAAACCGTGTGCTATATTGTGTTATAATACTCAGTCAAAATGAACCACTTCCTAATGGAGACATAAAGGAATGGGAATGTTATAGTACTGCTCATAATGTTATACAAGCTAACTAATAAAAAATAGAAAGCAAAGCTGAAACCTACCTTCTGCGTTTCAAGTACTAACTAAAAAACGAATTAGGCAGTATTTCTTGATCTTTAATCCTTCCCTAATTTAGGTGATTATCAAGGGTACATATCCTCCTTGCTAGTCATATCCAATCTTTAATTTCTTCGAGTTTTCGAGTAATCAATAGGGTATATTGATTTGTAAGTACCATGGACTCTAGAGTATTTTCAACTCATAACTTTCTGATATTTTTGATTGAGTTTTTGGAAGCATAATGTCAAACTTGAAAGGAATGATTAGAAGCAGACTATATTAGTATCCAAACATAAGTAGTGGATATAAAAAGTGATTGAGCAATAGTTGGAATGCCGGGGAAGATGTCCTCAAGATCTATCAAAGGGCTAGGAAATACATTGCTTACTGGTAGTTGATTAATTCCTACTCTTCCACAAACTCCATAATATCATAGCAAAGATACTCTCCCTTTCTCCTTTGACATGTGACAGATTTTCTCTCCAATGTTCCTACCTAGCAGCAGTCTAAATGCTCTTATTACACTGCAGCAGCACCTGCTCTGCTGTCTCCAATTTAGACCACTGACAATCACTAGCAACTTGCACCCTTTTTTCGATCAAATCTTACACAAGTTGGGAAATACTTTGCCTACGGGTAGTTGAGTCCCACGTCGAAAGAAGGTGAAAGGTATTGAGAGAAGCAAGAGTATAAAAGAACTCGAATACCTTCATCACAACTTACTTACCTGGATGGGGTCAATGGTTGATCATGAAGGATCATGGCCTAGGAGAGTGACCTCCATTGCACTTAGGAGGGGTGCTAACCTAAGGTCTACCCAAGTGGTGGAGCCTACATCATAATTTGTTGCAATGGGGGCCTGCGTTTGCGCGGCCCCCTCTTATTCCAATCTTCAAGTACTTTTTACAGCCCCCTCTTATTCCAATCTTCAAATACTTTTTACATCATAATTTTAATGGTTTTTTTTATATTTTTAATAGTGTTGGCCAATAAAGTTTGGTTTCTGTGCAAATTTTGGACCAGTTGTTTGATATTAAGGTAAACCACTTAGTCTAACATTTTGATTCAGTATGATTAGTTTCCAACGGACGTGGTTTAGCTTTAGAGTAACAACAAGCAAAATTATAACTTGCCACTGCTGCTTCATCAGGCTCTGATTTTTCCTCCCAAACTAGGTGTTGCAGATTGTAATTTCTTATGGAAAATGTTTTGTTTTTGCCATGTCTATCTTGTCTTTACTAGGACAAAGACACCAATCCTTTAATCCTTATTTTAATAAACAATTAAGTAATAAAAGAAATGATTAACCAAATCCAGCACTATGATTTTTGTAGGTATGCATGGTTATATGTTTCAATTGCAAACTAAATTTCATAAAAATGCACAATAATGGCATATGTGAAATAACAATTCAAGAAAAAAACATTTTTTTGAGTCTTGTAGTTTTACTCGCATAATAGCCTTCTCTCAAATCATTTTCCCTCAATTCTTTTTTCCTTAAGACAGTTTTGCATCGGAAATTTTTATCATATCTCAAGCATTTTGATTCAGTCCCAAAATATGGTGTACATTGTTGATGTTGAACATTTTGACTTAATCATTATGGATCAAACAAAAGCACACGGTTTTACTTTTCAAAATAGAATTTTGAAGTTCATATATACAAAATGTACACAGGACAATAACTTGACCAAACAACCTCAAAGTGTATCAAAGTCATTTTCAAAATTTTAGACAGAAAAGTTGCAAAAAAAAATCACCAGCTTCTAGAGATTGTTAGAAATGATTTTGTTTGGACAAATGATAAACACGTGAACATGAAAACAGTTTTCACTTCAACCAAACTACCAATTAGGAGCACAAGTATAGAAAATATTATAAGCCAACAAGCTAATTTACAAAGTAGTTTCTGCTGTCAAATGTGAGTTATATGTTGATGTTTAATCACTAAGTGAAAATTTAAAATTAAGAGTCCAAAAATGAGAGTGTGATCTTCAACTTGTATTCTAATATAATAGCAAGTTTGTAGTAACGAGACTTAATGTCTGAAATTTTTAATAGAGGTTGAGTATTATTTGCTTTTCCTTTTTGGACTATGCCAAACTGTAAGGATCCATGGTGTTTGTAAATCGGAGATTTAAGCTAAAAAATGTATGAATCCCACCCACCACCAAAAAGAGATGGTTCAGAGGCTAGGCTCACCAGGTGTTGTGGGCTAGAGGTGCAGCGGCCCGTGGTGTTGTGGACTATGCCAAACTGTAAGGATCCATGGTGTTTGTAAATCAGAGATTTAAGCTAAAAAATGTATGAATCCCACCCACCACCAAAAAGAGATGGTTCAGAGGCTAGGCTAGAGGTGCAGCGGCCCGTGGTGTTGTGGACTATGCCAAACTGTAAGGATCCATGGTGTTTGTAAATCGGAGATTTAAGCTAAAAAATGTATGAATCCCACCCACCACCAAAAAGAGATGGTTCAAAGGCTAGGCTCACCAGGTGTTGTGGGCTAGAGGTGCAGCGGCCCGTGATCCCTCCACTGTCAGGAGTAGGAAGTGTTCGCTGCTCTGTGAAACCAGCCTCACGCTATACCCTCCTATCTAAGACTCACAAGACCCGTGCCTTCGCACAAGTCCTGTGGCTCAACTCGCAACTTGGAGCGGGCAGGCCAGCATAGTGCAACCAACAGACCAACCTATTAAGCCTTAGCCGTGTTCCATCACCTTGGTGCCCCCACATGGGTCACAAGCTAGCGCTACTCAGCTCGGCGAACTAACAAGCATGTCAAACATTTATGAACACTTTTTTGTGTGATGTTCGAGCCAATGTGGGACTTAATGGATATAAATTCGTATAGTATATATAATATTTAGATGGAACATGTTATAAAACTAATCATTGAAAAGATGTGGTTGTAAAGGTTTGTTAAATGGCTTGCTTTGTACTCGGTACTCCCCAACTACTTTTGACATGTCATAACACTAATCATTGAAAAATGTGGTTGAGGGATTTAATCTACATATATAGAGGGATAACTGGACACTCAAAAAGTGAATATCCAAAACCAATGACAAAGTAGTAGAATGTAGCACATACAATTTGTAAAGTGAACAAACATATATACCTACCTGGTTTAGCTTAGAGTAACAACAACCAACATTATAACTTGCCACTGCTGCTTCATCGGGCTCCTGCTTTGTTCCCAAAACTGACTCAAATCTCTCTAATGCTTCCTCGTACTTAGCATTCCTTCAGCATTTAAACAAGAAAGTAATGGACATTAGGATTATCAGGAAGATACCATTATTTTTATTATTCTAATCTAGATATACTCTTACAAAACTGGATGCTTCAAAATTAAAGCATTTTTTCCCTCAAACTAGGCGTTGCAGATTACAATTTCATATAAGAATGTCATGTCTATCATGTCGTTACAAGAAACAAGTCACCAATCCTTTATTTCTTATTCTAATAAGCAATGGAGTAATAAAGGAAAATATTTACTTAATCCAGCACAACATTACGTTTTTTGTATTTTTGCATGTATTTTTGTACTTTTTGTATTTTTGGATGTACTTTTGTATTTTTGCATGATTATATGTAATTCAGTATTAAATCCAGGAAAGTAATGGATATCAATGAGATGCCATTAATTCTTCAGTCCTAATCTATATTACAATTGCATACCTCGAGAAATATAACCATGTGTACCAGCAAAAAAGCTAAAACCCGTCTGAGAGTTTTCAGCAACATCAAAATCAGCAATTTTTGTCTCATAATCTTCATCAAGCAGCTAAAATCATCAACCATCACCTTTCTCTAATTGCTTCACAAACCATCTTGTTTTTCTTCAGCGTGATTCGATAAACCTTTCCATGAGCACCATGGCCGATTAAATTATCTTCGTCCAAATGACTTATTTCATCAGCATCAATATCCACTTGTGAAAAGATGCTAGTTTCCATTTTTTTACTTGCTTCCTTTTAACATTTTTGTAACTTGTTTGCCCTTTGAATCCTGAAGCTTCTACACATCAAAACCGCAGTGATGAAGATAACAATAATGACCAAGAGCATTACATATTTATAACCAAAGAGAATTCTTCTATGACTAATGATCTTTATCACAAATCTTCAAATCAGAATTTATTGAACTTTTTGGAATTTTCTCAACGCATGAACCTTTGTTTCAACCAAAAACAGCATTGTGGATGTTGAATATTTTGATTTAGTCATGTCTCAAACATTATGGATCAAACATAAAGTACACTATTTTACGTTTTAAAAAAGAATTTTGAAGTTCATATATATAAAATGACACCTCATGTAATGTACAATAACTTGGTCATACAATATTCACTAAATTAGGCCTCTAATAACCTCCTTTGAGCATGAAATGATATCATTGATCTCAAAGTGTATCAAAGTCATATTCAAAAAGTTGAGATTAATCATCACTATAATGAATGTGATTATTAGCCATTAGTCATGACTATAGGTGAAAAGTCATATAAGAAGCTAAATAGATTATTTGAAAGGCTTCTAATGCATTATTATAATTAGCTAAATGGATTATTTGAAAAGCTTATAATGCACTATTTGAGCATGATATTATATCACTAATCTCAAAGTACTAAAGTCATATGTGTTCAAAGGTTATTCTTCTCAAAAATATTAATGCAATAACAAACTCCATAATCTTAAAAGCTCAAAGAGAGAATGGGAAATTACAGTCCCTGTGACATTACATAAATAAGCATCACATAAACAAAAAATAATACAAGGAAAACAATATAACATGCTCAAACCATGTCCAAGTAACATTACCATGCACATATATTTTTATTCAAACTACAGGAGGCAAATTGGATGGACCATATAAAAGAGGCTTGAATTTCAAGTCTCCTATTCATGTCTTGGCGTCAGAGTGAACCAAAGAAACAACATATAATAGAATAGAGGGAAGCAAAAACTATTGAGCTGTGATTGGTGCCATTAATAGTATTAATGGAAATGGACAATTTTATTGATCATAAAGTTTCTTATGTATATCATACTAGTAAATAAAACAAGATACTGCAAAGGTGGCAACAAAAAAATTGAGACCTATAATTAACTACAAAATATACACGGTGAAATCAAATGTGATGGAATGATATTGCTCAATCAATTCCTTAGAGCTAAACCGGTTGTTTTCTTGTGTCGACGCAAAGGGGTTATTTCTTAATAAATATTCCAAAAATTGATTTGATGGCATTGATAAATGATTCATGGAATCTTTTCAATAACGGGTCGAATTCTGGGGATGCCCTTGCATTTGCAAGGTACCAACAAAAAAGAGATGGTTCAAGGGCTAGGCTCACCAGAATTTAGAGCTTCTCCAAGTGTAGAAAATGCATAGAATGTCAGGTGGAATCTATTTAGAAAACAACAACAAATTAACATGGCTGTTCTAATAATCTTATTGTTGCTTGGTGGCTGGCACCCCCTAATGAACCAACAAAAAAAGAGATGGTTCAAGGGCTAGGCTCACCAGGTGTTGTGGACCGGAGGTGCAGCGGCCCGTGATCCCTCCACTGTCAGGAGTAGGAAGTGTTCGCTGCTCTGTGAAACCAGCCTCACGCAAGACCCATGCCTTCGCACAAGTCCCGTGGGTCAACTCGTAACTTGGAGCGGGCAGGCCAGCATGGTGCAACCATCAGACCATCCTGTTAAGCCTTAGCCATGTTCCATCACCTTGGTGCCCCACATGGGTCACAAGCTGACGCTACTCAGCTCGGCGAACTAACTATCATGTAAAACATTTATAAAGACTTGTTTGTGTGATGATCTATCCAATGTGGGACTTAATGGATATAAATTTGTATAGTATATATACTATTAAGATGGAACGTGTTATAAAAGTGATGATTGAAAAGATGTGGTTGTAAAGGTTTTTTAAATGACTTACTTTGTACTAGGCACTCCCCACAACTTTTGACATGTTATAACACTAATCATTGAAAAGATGTGGTTGGAAAGGTTTTTGTATGTTTGCATGATTATATGTTGCAAATCAAATATCATAAAATGCCCAATAATGAGATATGTGAAATAACAGTTCTAAACAAGAAAATGTAGTTAATCTCTATAGCAGATTGAACAAAGTACTTCCATTATAAATGAAATGTGATGGAAGACTGTTAAAAAGCGTAATAAGGAGAGAAAGAAAACGATTTTCAGAGTCGGTGGAGTCTTCTATCAAATAATTTTTCCGGCACTCTTTCAATTTAAGAATTATAATTTTATAGTTTAAATAGAATGAAACTTACTTGAATTTCCCTGACTTTGTTACTGACTACACCAGAGTTCCTCTTGGCTTTTGGTCACAACAAAATAAGCTCAAAGGGTTTCTTTCTATCACGTTGCCACTCCCTTTACCCGGCAATTTTTCATATTTATGGATTTCTTTATAAACTTATTATTTTATGATTTATTTTTTTTGCTTAATAATAACTTTGTTTATAAAATATTGGGACTCTATTTTAATATATTACAAATGTAAAAGCTATTCTATAGAAATATCTCAATTGTGAAAATTTAACGATGATTCAAAGATTATTACATGGATTTTATTTTTTGTGGAGTTTTCAATAAGTCTTCTGCCTGATGCAACCCATAAATAATTATTTAAATTAAAAGATAAATCAACCATTAGATTTAGGAGAAGAGGAAATTAAAGAAGAATATAAATATAATTGACCTGATTTAGTAGAAGAAAAAATTAGATAGCAAAGGAAGTGTTGAGACTTAACCTAAATGGAGAAAAGATATATTTATGTTTAAGATTGATCACAGAGTGAACAAATATGAAAGAATGAATTTGCTAAAGACAACACAATAGAATATATATTTATAGGTTAAAATATATCCTGAGGGACAAGGTTCAGGATATATGAAAGAATGAGCGTAGTATCGAGTATCAACCAATCTTTGGTCAAAACCAAAGCCGGCTATCTCACTACTTCCTAATGGCCAATGATGAGTCAATTAAAAGGTTCTAAAGGTTAGTTAGCGCTTAATGACACTAAGGAAGCCTAATGTTATCTTTGACTGACTCAAGGAACATTAGTACAAACCAAAGTATCACGCTAACATAGCTATCACTTCGTCCATATCAGTATACCCCATGCATCCTCCATGATTTATTGTTACTTATCTAAAAGGTGCCCCAGATCCGGGTATAGGATCTTTAACAAAAACCCAAACAAGGACCCAAAATATAAAGCAAGCAAGTCAAACAAGGAAAGTGAGTAAAGGTGATCTAGCCTTAAGGTAATCCCACTTTTAAGTAAAGTCCCCGACAGAGTCTCCAGTTCTGTAATACAGTGGGAGAACTGACTTGGGTGTTTTGCGTTTGGTCGCAATTGTTGCGGATAGTAAGAGTTTCCACCGACTTTTCTTTTATCCAATAAGGAAAGGTTGAAAAGAACAGGAAAGACCTTTCGAGATTATTTCTTGAGTTAGGGGGTAGGTTATGAAAAGGGAAGGTGTTAGCACCCTTTTCATCTGTAGTTATCTACGGGCTCTTAGTTGCTTGCTAGATCACTTGCTTTTTGTTTGAAAATGTGCTTGTGGTGTGGGTTTTGAATGTATTTTGAAAATGTCTTTGTAATGGTTCTCATTTCTATAATAACGAGTACAAAGTTTTGTTCTGAAAATAGTTCAAAGAGGTATTTATGGAATGTGTTTTTGAAAGTGATTTTGAAAAGGTGTCTTTGTAATGGTTCTCGTTTCTATAAGAATGTGTACAAAGTGTTTCAACTTTTGAAAATGTTTCAAATGAAAGTGTTGGTGTATAAAATGTTTTTGTTGTGAGCAAGCGAGCAATTAGGAGTATCCTACCTACTCAAAAGGTCTTAATGTTATTTTCCTCCTCCTTTAGATATTGTTATCTTCCATTGATTTGGTAAGAATCCCCATCATTGGATGTGAAGGGACAGGCGCGGGTCAATCGTACAGTCATAGAAGGCAACTTATGAGATGCTTTAGCAATTTTCGTAAGGGACTAGATCGTTTTACCGAAGGCAACATCAAGGGACTACAATCTTTTTTATCGAAGGGTCTTTGCTAAAGCATCTCATATTTGAGGGACATGATTGTTTTTCCGAGGCAACAAGCGGGATTATCCTAGAGGTGCATGTGTGAAAAGTGTGTTTGATTCAAGTTAATTTATCTTTGATTAAGGTTATCTAGCGATTAATTTTGAATCTTGTCATACACGCCTAATTACTATGCAGTATAAAGAAAAATAGTAAATTGTGAAAATTAAAATTCTACGCTATTACAGAGTTTTCGGGAATGGGGGTACAAATTTACAAATGGGGATGGATCAATGTGATTAAAAGTCAAAATAGGCAATCAATACAACTAAATTGAATCGAACAAATTAATTAAAACTATAATAGTCTATGAAGTAAAAATTAAATAACAGAGTATAAAAATTCTTGATATTTTGTTTGTGAGGAAAAATAAAATTCTATTATATTATTTTTTGAAATTGCGTTTATCATGAAGAAATTAAACAAACAATTTAAGACTAAAAAAAAGTTAATAAAATTATTTACACAAATCCATAACTATATTAATTAAGAAAATAAACTAAATAATTTGAAATTTATATTATTGAATTTTAAGAAAATACAAACAAAATTGATATTCTTAAAAAAACTTAATGACATGTTTCTGTAGTTTATTATTTTTATTTGAACTTTAAAGTCTAAACTAATAAATTAAGAAAATTATATTTTAAAGAAGGGAGGGGTTTAAATAGAAAATAGGGAGTGCTGGCGAGTAAATCATTACTGGGCTTTAGCTACTGATTAAGTTGAAGCCCAATAGTTTATTTTTGTTTAATAAAAAGGGAATGAAGCAAACAGAAAGAAAAAGAAAACGTCCCTAGGAGGTCTCAAACCCGAAACCTTTCC